ACATGCTAAATACTCTAATAGATTGTATCTTGTACTTCTCTATATATCCTCCCTTAGATTTTACTTTAAAAGGATACTAGAGAAGCACACTAAAAAATATAAAATTTTATATAAGCGACTAAACTCATTTACAAATAGAACATAACATCTCTTTATAAAAAAATATTAAAAAAAGCTTATGACGCTGTAGAGCTTGAAAGTACGACGTTGCGGCTTCCAAAAGTGAACTAGTGACTCGAAACTAAAATGTTTGCTCTGTCATGGTGCTTGATGATGTTGAATTATTATTAAGTGAATAGTCGCAACCTTTCACTGAAATTGATGTGTCCATTGGGAGTTTGCAACGCTGTGGCAGTATGAAAATTAGAGTGTTGCGGCTCTCGAGTGGATAAAATGGTGCTGAGGTGTTGAAATATGTGGTGTCATGACATTCATTTTCCCAAGACCTTGACGCTACCAAGCTAATTTTTTGATGCAACGGTGCTTGAAACACTTTGGAACTGGATGTGATGTCGTTGCAGCGCTCGCAATTAAAGAGATTATCACTGCAATATCCAAAAGTGGCGCTTCGGCGGTGTTGAGTGTAACACTGTGATGATGTTTCCTCTAACAGCACGACACTGAAAGTTCCTTTATAATTTTTCACTATTTTGAGTTTTTCTTATATAAAAATAACTAAAAAGACATACTTTGACTGAACTTCAAATATAATAAATAGTACATAATTTACACTTTTATCAACCACCCATATTATGTAACACTTACTTAATCAGCGTATAGTTTCAAGTATCCTGACTTGACCTGATAAAGGTAACTCATTAAATTTCTATGATTGAACCCCTTTTCATGTGTGCATATGAGTGTCTAAATCTGGTCTAAAGTTGTGGTCTCGGGGGTCTGTGTATATATTTGGTAAATTTGAATTGGTAATTTAAAAATTCTCTTGAATTTTTTAAATAGAAAACCTTTTTAAAATTTTTTCTTCAGCAATTTGATTTTAACTTGAAAGTATGTTTTTCAACCATAGCAATTAAAATTATAGAAAATAAATGCAAAAATTAAAAGGCACAAATATTTATAATGGTTCGGTCAAACACGACCTACATCCACTCCCTGAATACCCCCTCTTCGGGTATTGCACTATTACTAAAGTTTCTCTCCTTTTGCCCCCATAGTGAGGTGGAGAACCCTTTATAAAAATCTCTCTTCCACTAGTCCCCGATGTGGCAGAGAACCTTCATCCTTTCATACCGTACAAGCATCGGTAGAAAACTATCATCCTTTTACACCCTCCAAGTATCGGCAGAGTACCAAATCTTCTTCAAAGATTTTCTCACGAGCAACTATAAAGAAGAAAAGAAGAGTAATCACCAAAAATATAAAGAGATCATTACCTTTGAGTAACCTTGTGAACCCCTCACACTCCACTTACCAAAAATCTCTCTCTAACACTCTCCCACACTCTCTCTTTCACTTGCTCTTTAAATTTTTTGAAGAAGGATCTTTTTCATGTTAGTTTTTGAGGACCTTTTATATCAAAGACATAAAAAACAGTCAATAAAACTAAAATTTTTCATTTTGAGCGTACACAATTGTATAGTATAATCATATGTTCGTACGTACCAACAGTTCAAAAACTATTACGTATGAACCTTATGTAAATCAGTATGAAATAATTTCATACATTATGATCATCTAGAACGAACCCAGTTCGTACTATATGAATAGTTAAATTTTTTTTCATTTTTCATCGGGACGAAGGACCCCACAATTTCGTACCCTAGATGGCGTACATATGATGACGACATCGTACAATATGATTAGTTATGAAAATTTTCAACTTCATCAGGATCAAAGGGACCCGTCCAACTCATACACTGGATGACATACGTGCGATGTCGACATCGCACAATACGATCAGTTCAAAAAATTATAAGATTCATCGGGACTAAAAGGGACCCGTCCAATTCATATACTGGACGGCGTACATACGATGACAACATCGTTTGGTACGAACCGTTTAGAAAATTTTTAAGTTCGCCTGGATGAATGGGACCCATCCAATTCATACGTTGGACGACGTACGCACGATGACGACATCGTACGGCATGAACCGTTCTGAAAAGCTTCAAATTTGTCAGGACAAAAAGCCCCACCATCCAATTCGTACCCTAGATGGCATACGTATAATTGGTATATCGTACAGTACGATCAATACTTAGAAAATTTTTTTACTTTCTATTTTTTTGAATACTCGAAGGGGAAAATAACTAAACAAATAGCCCCGTACGAAATGACTTCGTACAATACGATCAGTTTAAAAATTTGCAAATCTTAAACTCTCCCCTGATATATGTGTGCACAGTTACTCAATTACAATCACACTCTTTCAGACTCAATAAAATGAAAAATATAAACTTTATTTACAATAAATCCTAAACTGATCTGATTTGAAGTTTTCATCAATCCGGAGTATGATTTTCCTGAAAGGTTAGTACACACAAACAATAAAAATAATGCACCCAAAATATGGTAGAAGAAATAATAGTCAAAGTAGTAATATTTGGAATAATAAAAAATATACATATTGCAAGAATATCAATAATAAAAAATTAAGTTGCAACTATCTCAATAATAGATACAATAGGTCTTGGTATGTATGTATTTTTATGGGAAATTTTCAATGTCTAAATTGAGAAATATTGGATTATTTATAAGTTAAAAAATAATTTTGGTCTAAAAAAATAAAGTTATATTATAATAAAAGTTTCAAAATAATGTTATGAACAATTTCTTATAATGTGATAATATTTTGAAATTATAAAATTCTACTTAGTAGATAGGTATGTTGCCTAAGCATTCTATATGGAAAGAAATTATATACATGCTTAATTACTTGAGTTATATGAATATGAGGAGATATGATGTGTGGTAAAAATTATACCCTGGAAGTTCTATTATGGTATTAAATACTCAAGGAATCATAAGGGCATATTTTTTGATATGTCAGCCCTAGAGTCATAAGCGTTTATTTTTTATGGGAGGTATAAGGGCTTAAGGGAATTTTTATTTTATTTTATGTTTTGATATATGAAGTGCACGCTTATTTACATTCAGAGCATAGTCTGCTCCACTTTAAATATTTGCAATTAATATCATGCTTAGTACAATATGCTTCATATGAACTATTATATTTGAGTTAGATGCTAAATAAATGAGTTATTTAGAAATTTAGATTGGTGGTTTGACTTGTTAAGCTATATTGATTCACACCTACTCTATTTTTTATTTCAAGTTAGGGGGAAGAAAAAGGGCTTGCTGAGTAGTCAAGCATTCAGAATATGATTGTCTGATTCTATATAAGCAATTTCTTGATTTTTTGTAATCTTATGGCTGCTGGTTTAATTTCTCTGTTTTTTCTATGTAGTTATGTATTGTATTGTAAATGTTGCATATATAATTTGATGAAATGAAATGAGATTTATGAATCATATTATTTTTTTCTATTAATTGACGTTAATTAGAAGGTTTGTGATATGTATGAATAAATATAATATATCTTATTAGTCCCCCAAAACTTAGATTTTGACCTCGCAGGTCCCAATTCAACACGGTATAACCTATTTATCTGTGGGTCATATCGGGTTGGGTTGTGATATATTGAATCCTTTGATAATATACCAAATATTCAACATTTAACTTACTTCTTGACATCATAATTCAATTATCTTGGGCTTATGGACTCATCTTGTTGTGATGCTCTTTTTTATTATAAAAAATGCAAGTCTTGACTATTTAATCCGTCAACTAATATTTAGAAGTTTTCAATTATACTTAAAGTGCATAAATTGAGCTCATTTGACATCATTTCAAATCATTGTTCATGTTGTTGAGTGTTCAATTTAATTATAAATTTGTTAAAATCAAAATTAACATGATTATGAATATGATCTAAAAATCATAATTTAAGTTTTTCTTTGAGATTTGTGCCTATCAAGGGAAGTTTCATATGATGTATAAAATGCCCATTTTTATTCAATTAAGGTTCATATAATGTTCGAACATAGATTAAACTTTCGTCACATATAGACTTAATCTTGATTAAATCTTATTTTAATTTTGTTTGAACGTTTTTATAATCTGTTTTTTTTGTGAAAGACTTAAAAAAGTAGTTTTGGTCGGGGCTTTTTCTGCCCGAACAAAACTTTGGACATATTTCTCAAATTTCATATTTTATTAGACATATAAAATCAAAATTCTCAAATAAAAAATATATCATACATAAAAATGAAATATATAAGAAAATAAAATCTAAATTAATACTAAAAAAAATTAAATTAAAAAATATAACAAAATTAATCTACTCTTAAAATTAATAATTCAAATATTTTCTTAAACAAAAAGGATATAGAAAAAAAAATTATTTTAAAAAATTGCCACCTGGCAATGCGGCCACCGCGCTGGTCATGCCAGTGTGACCTGGCCATGTATTAAATTTTTTAGTTTTTAAAATATTTTAAATAAATAAAAATAAAAATTCCCCCCGTGACCGGTTCTCCATGACCAGCTTTCCACAACTGAACGCTGACGTGCTCTCGTCCACTTTCCCGTAAATATATCAGTCAAATCCCCCCCAAAAAACCGCCTCTCTTAGCTATACCAATCCGTTCCCGTGTTCCGCCAATACATCTCAGCTTAACCAATCTACCAAGCGTGTAACCCGCAAATTTCTCAAACAAGCCACACTCCATATAATTACTCCTGTTAGACACCATTTAGCATAAAACGCCTCTCGAGCACATCCGACTGGAGAAGAGAACTATCTACGTAAACCGGCCGCTAAACTGTCTCGTGCACGGCTGCTGTTCTCCTCCATTCCTTTCCTTCACGCGTTTCACCGCATGCGTTCTGTTTCTCTCCCTTTCCTCTGTTATCTTCCAAATACTTTTATCCATTTTCTTCCTTCTTTTATATCTTAGTAGTTATTTGCTTGTTTCAATTTCTTATAAATACGACCACATTCAGAAGAGGCGGAGATATTTGTTTCGGCAGGCTTTTCCGGCGAGGGGTACGTATGAGCTCTCTTTGTATGTCTTCATAGTCTTAACTTATCTTTTTGAATTTTCGACCGTTGTTATCAATATTACTTTTGTTATATATGCGTAGTTTAGGCAGAGGAAACCCTAGATAGACTATATATAGAGGTTTACTGATTCTTTCACTTGCATTTAATTAGTAGAGGGAATTGAAGTTTGATGTAGTTATTGGATTTAATTGTTTGTATCGAAATGAAGAAGATGGTATATATTGATGAGATTTTGTTGCTTTCATATGGATGGATTTGATCCTTCTTTGGATGTAGGAGAGGGCCTTATCCTTATGGAGTTGTATTGAAACTGTTTCTGAGATTGATTTAGATTTGGTTTGGGATTTTTTTATACTAAAATCCTATTTTAAGAAACAATAAAAAAAGTTGTCTCAAACAAAGTCTTAGTAAGGTTGAAAGGAGAGAAGTAGATTGCTATCACAAGGAGAAAGCTTTAATAAATTTATGGGGGATTTATTTAAATAATACATAATTTTAATTTATTTATATATATAATATTTAAAATTTAATATTTATTTATATAAAAGTTATATATATTCTACTTAATGTATATCTTTACTGTTTGAGATAGTTTTATCATTGTTTTGTTTGAGATCATAATCATAATTCTGTTTGGTTGCTATTTGTTCATTGTTTCTCGTAATTGTTTAGAAATTTTTATGGTGGGAAGTTACTTTTTATGACTGAATTACTATTATGTGGTTGCTTTAAAAAGAGTCGTTATTCTAATTTAGAAAAAAAAACTTATTTATGATATACCAAGTAGCTTTCAAAATTTTTTTTTTTCTCTACAACAGCTTTAATAACTATCTTTATAAAATACTACAGCTATCCCGAACAAATTCATAGTTTTGATCAAAATGATCATTGAGCTTCAAAAAGAAATTAGTGATATAGTGCTTCTATTTTAATTCTAAATTTATTTATTTATTAATCTTCTATTGATTTGATTTATGAATATTATTAAACATGTTTGAGCACATAACCTGATCAAAATCAATTAGATTAATTTGGTCATGAGAAGATAATTGAAGAGCTTATTGTCCCCAAGTTATTGGTTTGAGAGAGTAGTTGTGACAAGGTATTCAACTAGCAAACTATTTGAGATCAATTGATGGATATTAAAATATATTTATTATTGTTTTATGAAGATGCAAGGGGAATATTCTTCATATGTGGAACAATTAATTAATTTGAAGAATTATATATTGCGTGTGCCCTACTAATAAGACTGTTTGGCATATTCATTTTTTCCTAAAATTTACCTAGATTCTATTTTTGGACATTAATATAAATATTTAGTGATATTGTGTAATATTAAAAATATTAATTTAGCTCTGGCTTGTTTTTTTAAAAATTGTCCTCACATAGAACAAAATTAGGTTAATCACTCATTAAAAATGATTAGAAGTATGCGCCATAACTAATTATAAATAATAAAAGTAGGGACTTATTTGAGATGGCTGCAATATTTTTTATAAAAGTGGCTGTAAATTTGTTGTGGGAAAAGTAATTTTTTGAAAGCTACTTATAAATATGTTGTTTTTAAGAAATTAAAAGAGTTTTCTTAAAGCTACAACACATTAACAACTTTAGTCATAAAAAAATTACTTTATAATAGAGAAAATTTTCAGAAAGTAGTGAGAAAGCAATTAGAAATCAATATACACATAAAATAGTGATAGCAGTCTGAAAAGTAAAGTATTGAGAAAGCTATGCCATACAGGTCTTAAGAGTTTGGGACTGCTGCAGCTTTTTGTAAATGTGATTGTCAAATTGTTATGGAAAAAATATTTTTTTAAAAGTTACTATAAAAATTAGATTTCTAATGTATAAATTTCTTAAAAGCAATGCATTATCCAAATAGAAAGCCACTTAAAATAAATTAGTAAATTAATAACTAGTAGATAATGTTTTATTTAAAAAATAAATTTAAATGTTATGCTTAGCCCTTTTATATCTGTTGACCCGTCCATTGTCTTTAATTAGAGGATCAACATATGTGCATAATTTAAGCTGGACCCTCAAGTTCGAAAATTTTTTTTTTTTAATTGTAAAAGTAACGGTTTAACAAATAATCGTCTTTTTAACGCAGGTTCTGCATCGCGTCACCTTCCTCTCCCACAAGATCTTAATGGAATCCTCGTCGGTGCCGCCCACCACCTCCGGCGAAGCCCCGTCAGCTTCCAACCCGCCGCCCACCACCTACGTTCAAGCCGACGCCAACACCTTCAAGGAACTCGTTCAGCGCCTCACCGGACCCCACGAAGACCCCCCAACTACTTCCACTCCCATCCCAAAGCTCGCCGGCGTCCGCCGCCCCGCCTTCAAACTCCATGAACGGCGGCAAGCCTCCCGGTCCAAGCTCGCAGTTTTGAAGCCCCTAGTCAGCCCCCGCCCTCCTGCTGCCGAGTTAATGTTCTCCTCGCCCGGCCGCCTCAGCCCCATCGTCTCCCCGTCCACACAATTGTCGGTGCTTTCTATCTCTGAGGGATGCAAGTCACCACCGCCTCCGCAACCTCCGCCACCTCCGCCACTTCCACCAGCAGCTGCGGCCCCCGAACTGAACGAGGATGAAGAGGAGAAGGCGATTAGGGAGAGGAGGTTCTATTTACATCCGTCGCCCCGGTCTCGAACGAGAAGCGCTGAGCCGGAGCTGCTGACGTTGTTCCCACTAAACTCGCCGAGTGCCAAGCGAGGAAGGTGATGATTTGCCGATGCTTTAACAACCCAAAAATCAATAATATCATTCAACATATAACATAAAATATTACCTTTGTGCTATTTCTTTGCAATTTTTTTGTATGTTATATGTTGAATTTACGTCTCAACGTATTGGGTGATTAAAGTTATAAAATTAATATTGTTTTGGCGATCGGATTGATAGATATGTAAGTTGTTGGGTTTTTATGTAATTGTTTGATTTGCATTGTTATTTTATTATGGTAGGGGGAGTACTTGCATTGTTTCATTCAAAAGGAAAAAAATAAATTGGATGATTGAATTTAGATGTCAGAGTGTATATATGCAAATATCATACAAAAAGTGAAGTTAGGTCGGTTTGAAGGCATTCATTGTAAAGATATTTTTGGCAGTCAAATTAATTGCATAAACTGTTGAGGGTTTATGTTAATTAAATTAAGGAGGTAATTTATTTTAATTAATTAGGACTTGCTTCTAATAGCTAAGAGCACTAACCGTTTTCCAACAAATAAGCTCATGAAAGCACCTCTTGATTTTATGTGATTTATGATTAGCACTAAACCTTTTCTAATAAGAATTTGAAATGAGTCTTCTTATTTATTAATTAGTCTTCTTATATAGATTTTTTTTATGTATTAAAACGTAAGTTTGATTTGTTCATCATTAAATTGTTAGAAATAAAGAATTTTTCATCTTAATGTAAGAGTAATTTAGATTTATGAAAACTTGTGCTCGAGAGGAGACTTAGGCCTCGTTTGATTAGGCTTTTTTTCTCCGTTTCCGTTTGAATAAGCCGAAATCAATTAGTATTTACTTACAAAAATAAAAAATTTTGTACTAAAACTCCGTTTTAGAAAACAGTAAAAAAGCCGTCCCAAACGAAGCCTTAATCAATCATTTATATGTCTTTGAGATGTACTTAAATGTTTAGGTGTTCTAAGAAATCTAATGTGTCGTAGTTAAATCTTTGGGTTAAAAAAATATATTGCCACTTAGTCTGAATAGAGTGACCTCAATTTCTTAATTGAAAAAAAAAAACCTTTTTGAGATTTACGTCTTTTAAGATTTTTTCAAATAAATAGAAATCTTGTATCTTTATAGCTTAAGCCTTCTGAGATTTTTGAATACGTAAATAAAGTTGCAATAACAATCCATATATATTCTTGATATGCATATATACCATATTCTTTATTGTGCTTGTGTCTTTTAAGGTTTTTGGAGAATATGTAAGACTTTTTGAGATTTTTGGAGAATCGAAGAAACCGGGTCTTTGATATTTTTAAAGAAGCTAAAAATTTATATCTTTTGAGGCTTTTAGTCTTTAGAGATTCTTAAAAAAATCAAAAGAATCTATGCATTTTAAGGCTTTTAGCCTTATACGTTTTGGAGAATTGAATAAACTTATACTTTCTAATGTTTTAGCATTTCGAGATTTTCGGTAGACTGGAGAAACTTGTACCTTAATTGGCTTTTAGTTCTAATATAAGGCTTTAGTGTTCTGAGATTTTTGGCAGACCAAAGAAGCTTTTATATTTGAGGCTTTCAGTCTTTTGAGATTTTTAGACAATTGGAGAAACTTATACTTTATGATGTTTTTAGTCTTTCATGATTTAAAAAAAAAAATTGGACAATTTTATACCTTATGAGACTTTTAATCTTCTAAGACTTTTTAAAATTTGAAGAAACATACTTTTTGAGGCTTTTGATATTTTTGGAGGAGTGGAGATTATATCAACCACTTGTTCTCATAGAGTTTTTCTAATGATAATCCTATCCACGATTAGCTTCCCATTATAGTTATTTTATGGCTGTGCCTTCTAAAAGTTATGACTAGAGACCTTATCTAACACTTGCCCTTTTTGAGTTTTCTTTTAGTGAAGATTATATCCACTATTAGCTTCTCATCGTGGTTATCTCATAAACTTGCCTTCTTGGAGCTTTAATTAAATGCAATATTATTCATAAAAAGAATATTATATTAGTAGTTTAAAGTAAAAACTTATAGAACATAAATCTTTAATTCCACTAGTAATCGTGACATAATTTCTTTTAGAAATTCTAATGAAATGAGAAACTCAACCTTTTTATTTTGCCTTGGTGATGGAATTTTACGTGAATGAGGGAAATTGATGTAGGACATAACTCATGCACATGTTGAATTATTTAATAATAAACATTGCTCATGATAATATTAGAGAGATAAGGGGTAGAACTTATATCCATGAGAAACACAAGATGCATGTTGAATTATAGTGGTTCTTGAGGAGAAGAATTAGGGTAGCATAAATATTTCATCAAACAGACATTTAAAAGTTGCATGTATATGTAACTTTTAGTATTTTTGCCCCTTGATAGATTGGCAACTGCGTCTCATCGCTTGAGCACCATCACCCTTCCTCCCAGAGTTTGATTGAATCATTACGGTATGGGGAAAAAAATATTCAAACTTGCTCAAGCCTATATCTTACTTATAAAAATAAGAAAATTTTTATATCTAAAAGTATGCCTTGCATGGATGGTGGCAAATAATATATAGGGTGCCATGGACAAGAAAAAATATAAGCACATCCTAATAAGATTACAATTTTTTATTAAGATATCCTAAAATAGAATACTTGGCTAATATATTTATATAGCCTAAGTATTGAAAATGTGCAAATGATATTACATTTGGAAAACCACTAAATCAATACTTGAGAAGACTGAAGAGCTAGTAATAAAATTTTGACTATGAAATATAATAAATAACACCTAGAAGTAGAGTAATATAAAGTGTTATTCAAGTCAAGTAGAAATTGACAGAGCATGACTACAGGTATGATTAGGGATACTCTGATGAAAATGTTTGACTTATGTTCACACTAACTTCTTGATGTGAGAAGAGCTTAGCCTTGATGAGAGTATATGTTGTAGCCAACATAATATTCCTCAAGCAATCCTGAATAGGTTGAGATATGAGCTTCATCTTTATAATCATAACATCCTTTTACTCACTTAGATTTTACTTATTAAAATTTATTTATACTAGATTTCCATTCTAATTAGACTTTATGATATTTAATTTCATTAAAAGTTGGGGTTTCAAAAATTTTCTTGCTATGAATCTTATTAGCATAATCTATAAGATTAGGTTGATGAGGTAGTAAATGAGGTTGTGGGTACTTTCTTCTCCATGGTAGATTTTTATTTCCTTCTCTGAGGCATTATAATCAATGTAGATTAATCCTTTTGCCTTAGTCAATCTATCCTATATTGCTTCTAACCTAGTCAAGATAACCTCTAGAATTTGATGGAAATGATCCATACTGGCTGTTGGTATAGCATGTGTCAAAACTCGACCCGACATGACCCGATATCACACAAGTCATATTGTGTCTGATTATAGAAAGACTGACCTTAAGATCTAGTTGGAGAAGTACTAATATAAATTTTCCAAAGTATGCATTCCATAGAGCCACTATTGAATATAATACAAAGTGAAAAATTAATGAATCACAAAATAATTTTCTATATATCATCTAAAAAAATATACAATATGAGGTCTATCTACAACAGTGCTTTGAAATAACCAACAAAATAAATAAAGGCCAAGCCTACAAAAATAAAACTAACTAAAATTACATACATACAACATAGATTTGAGCATGATATCCAAACTACTCAGCTAATTCTTTTTTCCTTCCGTTGGCATGAAAATAGAAGCAAAAGTAGGAGCGAGCTAACATGACTCGGTAGGCTCTCATAGCCTAAAATAAAAATAAATAATTGAAACCAAAATAAAATTAAAAATACGGTGATGTAAAAGTATTGTACGAAAAACTGAAACTGAAATTAAAGCATAAGTTGAAATTAAAACCAAATGAAATCTAAGGATTATATATATATATATATATATATATATTCATTTTCTTAACACAATCCCAACCTCGGTAGCCTGCAGTCCCCGGCACAATAGAATCCCACGTCAGTAGCACGCTGGTCTTGGCATAATCCCACCTCTACCACCCACTAGCACCGATATAACATAATCTCAGGTCGGTCTCCCATTGGCGTCAGCATAATAAAATCTCATCTTGGTCACACACTAGCACCGGCATAACTGCACATTAATAGTATTTTTTCATTGCATTTCATAAATTAAAGCATAATTGGATTAAATTTAAAAATTATCAAAATGTGTTAATAATAGGCAACATAAATACTACGGAGCAAAAAATACATAATTATTAAACATAATCAATTTACCAGAGTGTGTAAAATATCATTGTAAGACTTTTATCATACTAAGGTTCTATTTTTAAGTGTCTCGATTATTTTCTATTAAAAAAATCACACAAAACCTAAAATATCCTAAAATGTTTTTTTAGAAAATGCTCAAAATATTCATAACCATATGCTCTATAACATATAAAAAGTTGTCCTGTGAAAGTTCTACCAATACAAAGTCATCTCATTTTCTGATAACAGAAATTCAAATTTGATAAAAAAAATCTAAAATATCAAATTATTGAAAACTAAAATAGGCAAAGAGATACTTATCTAAAGGCAACTAACATTTTCAACTAGCCCTATGGCTAAAAATGGCTCGAAGAGGCTCAAAATATATTTTCTCTCACTAGAAACCCTCTTATTCTCTCTCCTCATTTTTGGTGGCATGCAATCAAAATGAATAGAGTGGTGCTTTTAAAATATATTTAATTGGCTATTAATGGCCTAGTGTTGCGGCGTTGTGACTTCATTTTTGAATAAGGTTAATTAAATCATCTAAACATCTAAGAAATCAAAATCACATCAATTCAAAAATCCAAAATTTGAAATTCAAATTTAATCCATTAATAATTGCAATCAAACCCTAAATCATTCCTAAACTCCACCAAACTTCCTTAAATACAAATATCCGTAATTTGATATGATTGGTCACCTTGACCTAGTCATCAATTGACTTGGTTAATTAAACCCAGATTTGGTCAAACAGGTCAATTTGGGTCAATCCATTGCATACAACCAATCAAAATTCTAACCCTTTAAGATCACTTCATAGCATGCTTCAAATATTCTCAAACTATCCATGAGTCAAACTTTGATAGGTTTGATTTAGTCAAATCACCATGGGTGGTCAAACGTCCTATATTTTTGCATTTACCATTCACCTAAACATATAAACCACTCCTTCAAGCCCTTTGGTGTTTTCCTAAGTAGCATGTAGATTGCTCCTACAGCCAATCTTAGTTGGCCTTGACCATTTAACCGATCAAAAAGTCAATAAAATTTAAAAAAATCCTCCCTAGTGACCAAATTGAGTCAA